GCACTTTATCCCATAAATATAGCATACCTTAAAACTATACTTCTTCATATATATATATATATATATATATATATATATACATACACACACAAACAATATTTTAAAGACTTATGACAAAGTGGAAAAAGATTTTGTGTTTTGCATTTTGTCCTTTAAACCACAATTTTAATTTTAAAAATGCTAGTCTAATTCAAAGAGAAAACAATTTACTAAGATGAAAATGTTTAAAAAGTACTTTAATTGCGAGATCAACCACAGTAAATTTGCATCCAGGTCCTTACAATGTTTCACCATTTGTGGGAGATCTTTTGTTATCACAATGTGGGATATTTAACGACAAAGGTGACGGAAACACAAACAACAAGAATCTAAATGAAATCGAAAACATCATATACCCAAAACACATTAAAAAAAATTATCTTTAAATGTAAAATTCTCAGCATTTCTCATTCGTGTATATTTGTAGTCACATAGACATAAACTTAGTCTGTTTATGTCCTGAAGGACAAAACACAACACAAAAACATTTTCCACTTTGTCATACTTATTTCTCCTAAAATTCTTCTTGATCTGCTGCCTTCTTGATTACTCTTCTTTTGTTCTTGCTACTTAGTATAGTTTCACATTTCTAGGTCTTCCACACCCAGTATACCTTTGTGTCTTTGCTGCCTTGCTTGGGGTGATATCAATTAAAATATATATATATATATATATATATATATATACACACACACTCACACATAGAGTCTGTTTGAAAAGTAATGGGAATGATGGCACAAGCAATTTATTTCAATATTTCAATTCCAAATGACATGTTTTTACTTCAAAGTAACCCCCTCAATGAAACGGCAAGTCTACAAACAGATCCTGTAGCACTTGCTTCGCTCAATGCACAAGAAGAGATGAGAGTTGTGACAGGACAAATTGAGGCTGCTTCACCATTACAATGCACTTGCTCTTCATGTTCTTAGTGTCCCACTTTCAATGCTCTGTTAAAATGCTTCCCAGATATTTGCATTGTTGTACTTGTTTGATTTTGGTATCTGCAATTTGTAATTTGCATGTTCAGTGGTTCCTTTTCCTAACAAACATACATTCGGTCTTCTTATAATTGATGTTTAGTCCTTTCTTCTCACTTTCCTTGTATAGTTTACTTCAACTTCTAATGTCTCTGACTAAATTCTGAAATTTTATTTACTAATTTAGTTTTTCCTCAATAGGAGTAGATAGGTTTGCCTATCGTCCAATTTACACACCTCCCTGGTCTTTTGAACAGGAGTAGATGTTTATCCCCTGTTTCCTGCTTAGGATTGGGTTTCACCTTCCTTCTAAATTCATTTTTTTACTCTTTCACTCCCAGTAACCCCTTGCATCTTAGTGACATTAACTTGGGATGAATTAATTAAAAAAAAATATATAAATAAAATAGATCTTATGTTGTTAAGATTGTGACTGCCAGTAATGAATCCTGATATGGTAATAATCATAAAATGATGTGTTACAATAGATAACCAAGTAATCAGTTTAATTTCTCTAAATATCGGTACCATTTTACTATATTAAATTGTAGTTGATTTTACTTTTTAGACAAAATTTTATTGATAAGAGACAAAGTAGAGTAGGTTTATGTGTATTTACTTATGCTTTTTAAATCTAATCTGTTGGATTACTGCCCCCTGACAATAATTACAGGCAATGAGTTAATGAAACCAACAGACAACATGCTCTTACCTAAAATTTCAATACTTCTAACAACAACAAAGTGGTCACACAGTACATTGGCCATATTTAGAAACATACATTACAAATCAAATTTCATAAGAGATTGAAGTATTGGCAGGGCGTAATGGTCGTGTGTTAAGGAAGAAGAAGAATTATAATATAATGATTTCTGTAGTTTGCAATAAGTTGTAAAGATCTAACCCATATTTAGGGCATCACTTAATTTCTCTAAATTGTTAATAACAGATAAAAACTTCTCACCAATAAATGTCTCCATATTCTTTCTGCCATTTTGGAAAAGCATAAGCAAATCCCTAGAAAAAAATATAAATGAAAGAAAAAATTAAATTGTTTAAAACATACTGTAACACTAAAGAAAATGGCTTAACACCAGGACGAAAACGAATTCAGACATGTTTTACATGTAAGGTATCCAAAAATGTTTAATTAATGAATACATTAATTTGTGGCACAAGGTTGAAAAGGAAGTGGACAAATTCACAGGAAATCTACTAAAACATACACAACATGAAAATTTGGTAAGATATAAATTGTTTTTTATTCTTTTTCTTATAAAAATATATATAAAAGTATATATGAAATGTGGGGATGAACCTAATAACAAAAATTAAGTACAACATTCAAACTAAAATATGTTAGTAGGATCAGTCCAACCCACAAAAAATAAGAGTACCCACTGTATTCTGCCAATAAGGAGAATCAAGCATCTCACTTACTAGAGGTGAGATTATGGAATTTGAAAGTCAAAGACTGATCCAGTCAAGATAAAAAGGGGACAAACTGGGAAGGTTGGGAATATTGACATGAATCAAAAAAAAACAAATACTGGGAACAGAGCAGGAACAAAATTTATTCACATTAACTCAGTGAATAAAAAGAGTCTAGCTTACCAGGAATTCACTCGCTTTTACCTATAGGTGACTAAAAAAGAAAATCAAGACTAGCCTGATTCACATGAACCAATCTCACCACTTTTACCCACCTTTCACTGAAATCAGCTGAGATGGAACACTTTAATAGAAATGATGAGATTAATGCTTGACTGATAAGATTCCTTCCATCCACCATTCTTTTCACCCCAGACCACAGGGATGACACATTATCACACATGTATACAATATCAATGGTGTCTGTGATTGATACGAGCCATCAACTCACCAACATAATCCAAGAATAGGAAGAACTATGGAGCATTATCACACATGTAACAGTAAAGCATATCTGCCAAACCTGGTCTGAAATCCACATCATTGAAAACAGCATGTTACAAATCAATCGCCAGGTTAGCAAAAATTCAGGGCTGTTGTGGTAATTCAGCAGTGACACCCAGGACTAGAAAGAGTACAACTCTGTTGTGACAAGTAAAGTCGCCTCTATAATGGGTCTGACATGACCCCCTCCATGAGTTCCTGATACAATGCCCTCTTAGGTCATGAAAAGTCACTGGACCAAGGAGTAGGACGCAAGGCCTCTTGACATTCTGTGAAGAATTTGGACTGATTCTGAGGTTTACTTTAGCATTCAACTTCAGAATGGACAGGAGTGATGATAAGGCTCAAGAAGGTGTCCCTACAACTCCTTGCACACAGTGAATCTGCTCTCGATGCGCAGTGTAGAAAAACCAATAACAAGACATGTCAGTGGCCCACCAAGTGTTGTATTCCCCAGCCCCCCCCTGAAAAAAGACACACACGTGCTGAACACAAATATTAGAAGAGCAAGGACCTAACTGCAAATGGGAAGACTTCTTGTGATTGATCTTGGGCTCTGTGACCTTCTCATACAATTCAAGCACCTTCTGTACCACTTCAATGTTGCTGTGACATGATACAAATGGATACCCTGGTTCAAACTCCACCAGGGACACTAAGTCCACATAGGGCCAGACTGTTTGCCCTGTCCCTCAGCCAGCAAAGAAGAGGCTCCAATACCAAAGCAGAAAGTATGAACAATAGCAGGCAAAAATGACTGACACTTCTGGTTCACCTGTACCACAGCACTGGGGAAACAATACAGCAGGCTGATCCACTTGCAGAAGTCAGGTTTAAATCCAGTGGCCTGTAGTGATCAGCATTATTTCATTGTTGTCTTCTATGCCATGCCGCTCAGATGCAGGTTGCTCTGAATTATTCAGACCTCTACAACATGTCTGCTCCAACCCCAACAGAATTTCAACAACTGAATGCAAACGTTCTGTCAGGATCTTAGCCAAAATCTTTAACTCTGTGATTAGCAGTGTTGTGGGCCTGTAATCATCTAAATCCCACCCAATGTGCTTGTCGTTTTTCAACAGCATGATCACACACCTGGAGACCACTCAGAGATGGACTCCTACCAGAACCAGTTGTTGAACACCCCTGTCAAAATGGGAACAATTATGTGTGACATATTCAAGTCAATTATTCAGAGGGCAGACCAACAAATCTCAAAGACTTACCGTTGCCAGCCCTCTAAAAATGTCCAGTAGACTTTGTTCTGTAATCTCACCCTCACAGCCAGCCACTTTAGTCAACAAAAGTTGAGGGAAGTCAGCTAAATAGATGCAAAACTCTTCATAAAAAAAACCTGGCTCCTTGGTAAACCAGGTCTGTTGAAACACTTTGCACATGTTGTAGGTTGCCCACATGGGTACATCAATCTGGGGTTTCAGCCTGCCAAATGTAGCCATTTGAACCTCGACATATTTCTTCCTTGCATAATTCTCCACTCATATTCATGTCTTTATTTGACATCTTGTTTAACCAATGTCTAACTCCCTGCCCCTGGTATCACTTACTAGTTGATTCCTCCACGGCCTGCCTAGCAAGTCCTATCTCTATGGGATCTCCCCAGCTTCCACCTGAACCAGACTTTCTCTAAGTGCGAGTTGTTGGCCAAATTCAGTGGTGACAGACATAAGCCTCTCCCACCATTTATTCCCAATAACTACTCCCACTACTGCCCCACTATAATAGTCAGCTATTGCCAAAAGTCTCTCCTGTCTCGTAAGGACAAGTTGAACTTCCAGTGTCCAGCTACTCTAGGCATATAGTCTAATGCCATCCAGACAAACAAGTTTGTAGTTAGAATAGCCTAACCAGTGGGACAATGTAGCAAATCTAAACTGATGCTTCTCACTAATATTCTATCTAGGTAGTTGGAGAGATGGCCACATTCAGTGGAAAAAAAAATCCCAGAGAACGCCCCTCGGAATCTCGACAGATCTCTTCCTTGTGCAATTCTACACCCATGTTCAATGCTTCATTAGATATCTTCTTTAACCTATGTCTAACTACCTGACCCTGGTAGTGCTTCCTACCCTCACACTGCAGGGCCTGCGTAGCTATGACTATCTAGGGAATACACCCACCCAGCCACCACCCAGGACACAGTATCCTCTAGAGTCTTCACTATTTTAGCCTTATCTAGAGCAGTTTCATTGGCTGTATTCAGTTGTGAAGGACCTAATCCTATCCTTAAGTCTCTCTCACCACTTATTCCCAATAATCACCCCAACTAATTCACACTAATCTAGTCAGCTGTTGCTATAAGTCTTGCCTGTCCAGTAAAGACAGATTGAACTTCCAGTGTCCAGCCATTCTAAGCTTACCACCTAACACTATCCGGGTATATACAAGTCTATGAACGAAATAACCTAACCAGTGGAATGTGGGACAATCTAGCAAATCTAGACTGATGCTTCTCTCTACTATTCTATTCAGGTTGCTGAATACCTGGGTAGACGGTCACTTAAGAGCCCACATCTACATCTCCTGCCCTGGCTGATTGACCCAATATCTATCGATGAAATCAAACTCACTGATAAACACAACCAAACTACAATCATACAATCATCCGCAAGCTCCCTGTTCCCTATCTAACTTGGGGATCGGGATGGCATTTCAGTCCCCACTAAGACTAGGTATGCAATATCTGCCATGAACGACCCTAACTGATGGAAGAGTGAAAAATGCTCTGTCTGGTTATTGGGCGCATAAACCACAATGACCCTAACCAAACTACTTTTCATAGCAATATTGAACACAATTAATCTCCTACCATGGCACACCTTTCTTTTTGTTCCAGCAAAGAAATGCCTCTGGCCAGCTGGTCCCCATATGCTGAATAGAATAGGAAGTTGCAAGACAGTACATGAGCATCAATGATGCAAACTAAGCATGTCTCTTGGGTTGCAGTCACATCCACACTGAAGAACAAGGTCACAAAGCAGGCAGGCAGCCTGACACCAATTCCTCAAGCCCTTCGCATTCAAGCAAGCCAGCTTAATACCCATTTTTCACAGCACTTCAGGTACAAACTGTCCGAAAATCTGCAAGAGACAAGACCCCGATGGATTGTCCTATCCTCTTAGAGACCATGAGGAATATAATCCATTTTTCTAGGCCAATCCCAAATTGCTATTGTTATTATTGTTTCTGCCGCTGTTGTTGCTTGGCCTGGCTTCACATACCACTGCTTCTGCTTCTTGGGTAATGAAGTCCCACCATGTAGGACATCCTGCTGGGTAGGAGAAGTTGCAGCCTTCTGTCCTCTCCTTACTACCTTCTTTCATTCACTGGCCATCAGGAGCTTGGACAGACTTCTCTGGCCCCACTGCTTCCTTTCAAAGGGATGGTTGAGGCTTTTGACAGGGACTCCATGGCACCACAAGACCAGCAATGAGGACAATGGCATGCCACTATTAAAAAGTGGTCCACCCATGGCAAGTGAAAATGTCAGTAATGTCCAAAAAGCTCTTGCAGGTCATCATTGCATGAAGGACAAAATCGCTGGTAGCAATGCCTGTTTTACTTATTACATCTAAGAAAAAGGCTGTTCCCGTTCATATATTTTTCATATTTGTATTGTTGTTGGGTATAACAGCCTGCATCTTTTTGGTGTCTGTTAGAGACCTAAGCTGTTTTAATGGGTGGAGTTGGTTCCATTTGTTACTCCAGGGCTGGTGAGACTCCGCCATTTCAGCTAAGGCCACAACGCAGCACACAACACTCAAGAAAAAAGTTCACCCAAATAGCAAAAGGATGAAAAAACAAGACCATTTAGTCAAACACAAAACATACAGAGATGAAACTGTGACAAAACATCACTTACTTTTTTTGTCAACAATAATCAAAAGGACGTTGGAAGAGCTTTGAACAAGTCAAAGTCCTAATGTATCCGGAAAAGAAAATAGCAGCTTCATAAGTCATACGTTTCACACAGACAGATCTCAGAGTCGGATAGATTCTCATGAGAATCTCTTTTAACATATATAAATTTTAATTGCCAAGTTATAACAAGTGCATGAAAAGAGGCAATGGGAAGACGAGGTGCGACTGCTGTAGCGAACAGGAGACAAGTGTTGCAGTCAGTGTTTGTGGATTGTTCGATTTAAGTTCCTACCACTACTCTGTTGGTTGAAGGAAACTGATTACGGGAATTGCTTACAAGCCAGAACAAACTGACTGCAAGATGCAAAGATTTAAAATATGACTTATACATTTTTTTAATAACATGTCCATTCAGAATATAGGCAATCATTTCTTTCCAAAGTTTTTCTTTTTTTCAACTATCTGTGAAACACCAGGACTTCTTGGGAAAGGCAGTGGCTTCCCATTGTTTTTGCATGGTTTGGAATTCACACTAGTCATTCTCCTAGACTGGTTGCCATCCAAGGTTCAAGAATGCAGTCTACTCTGCTATTTAACCCATAGCTTGGGGAGTAGAGATGAATTCATGCCTTTACCTAAAGTATTTGTGCAAAAATAGAAACAGACTAGCCAGAAATTTGAACTTGGCTTATGACATCCATTTTCTGAAATTCAAATAAAGGGTTTTATGAGACAATTAGTTTGCTTATAAGAAATTATCACTCTTGGATAGAATTTAAATTTTTTATAGAAATACATAAAAATTACAACATGTCTGACTTTAGTTTGCAAATTTTGTTTCAACTTTAGGTGGAACAGTAAAAAAGAAAAATAAATAAACAAACATCATACTAATTTGATAGTAGGGGGGTGGGTCCCAGAAGAAAAAAATAATGTAATTTTTTATTAAAATCTTTCAATTTATTAAATGAAAGTTATTTTATGATAATGAAATTCTAAATCAGTTTATGAAACTGCATATCTTATGGTGTTAATATTATGGCTGCCAATAACAAATCCTAGTAGTACTTCTAATACTTAGAGAATTGCCTCACTCTATAAATAGTATAAGTCTGGTGAGAAGACACCTCCTTGTCTTACACCCTTTTCTATTTTTGTATATTTACTGAATTCATTTTCTATCCATATGCAGGTGGGTTTCTCCTTGTATAAGTTTTGGATTATCCCTCCTAAAGATGATCAGGTGATAGATTTCCTGATGACACTTCTAACATCAAGGTAAAATAAAAGATACATTCAGATAATATAAATCACTTTTATTTATTTTTAAATTTATTTCAGTGCTTACTTTTTGCATTTCTTTAATTCTGTTGGATTGATTTTTTTTTTTTATACAGCTTACCAATCCATTAAAAGTCAGAAAATATTTTTCAATAATAAGGATTTTCTGATGAAAGTCTGAGTAATTACTCCATAAGTGGGGGAGAGAAAAGATGGGTTCATGCCTTTTGCAAGTTTCCGTAAAAAGGATAATAAATAAAACTATAATTAAAAATCATAAGATTGCTTTAGAAGATTTTGCAAAAACAAAATTTTGCTCTGAACTGCTTTTTAAATCTACATAAAGATTTTTTCTTAATCAAGGTGCCATAATAATCAACAAACTCGTCTTGCAAAGCATTAGTTATTATTATTATTATTATTACTATTATTATTATTATTATTATTATTGACAATAATAACATGTAAAATCCACTCTGACAGGTGCTCCATCTCAACATATTTTATTGTCATTATTTGGAAAATATTATTATTATTGTTACTTTATATTACTATTATTATAATTATTTGAATAATTATGATACATTAATATTAATTATTGTTATAATTATTATATATTATTATTTTATATATTATTATTTTTATTGTTATTACTTAAAAAATATTATTATTATTACTGACAATAATAACAGGTAAAATCCACTCTGACATAGATGCTCCATAATCATCTCATCTCAAAATAATTCTTCTTTGGTAAAATAATTAAATTGTTCCAATCTTAATTGCAATGACTACAAAAACATAAATTCCATAGACAAAATAAAAACACATGTTGGGTTTTATTCCTAGCCAATAAGATAGGCCACTTCTCAGTCTCATCCAATATATTTCTGTTCTTTCTTGAAGTCAGAATGGCTGTGATCACTTGACTGCATCCCTTTTTTGTGTATTAACATCATATTTAGTTTATGAAGTTTTTGCCTTATTACTGTTTCTTTGCCTTATTTGCTCTTTCTTTGCCTTATTACTGTTGCTTTGCCTTGCATATATTGTTTGCTTGCTTAATATAATTTTTGCCCTGGTCTTTTCTTTTCTTTCTCTTGTTATTGTTTATTGAAAACTTTCTCAATTTTGTTTGTTGGGCATTTCTGCTAATTATATTTAACTATGGCCAATTACTCTACATAATTATTCATTTAACTTAGAGAAATGAAATATTTCACCAAAATTGTGAATTTTTTAAAATGGTAAAATAAATATGATCAGAGCTCATATCCTGAAAGGAGAGTTAAAATAAACAATAGTACAAAAATCAAACTCTAAGCTCAAATTTTATTTAAATTTTATGTTAATTGTTAATATGAAAATGATCAAGAGTGATTTTACAAGAAACAAAGAAGGAATCCTGGTCATCATTTCATTGATATCTGGAATGATCAGAAGAGATCAAAATATAAGAATCTGCAATTGGAATGAACTATTTTAAGGAAATTTATGTGAAAATAAATTTGGTTCTCTTCCAGTTTTGAATATTTACTTTTTAGATTTTGCTCAATAATAAAATTTTGGTGATGAAAAGTGTCATTTTTCTAAAGGCTACAATAACGATTTATAGAAGATTAAACTTTTGATCAAAGCAATATATTAAAAGCCTTTCTCTTTTTATATACCATTTCTCTATTTGTTTAACATCAGGTTTCAAACTTATCCTGAAATTTTCCAAAGTTTCCTATTAGGTCACCATTATCCACTGGAATCAACATTTTTAGTTAACAAATACCATCAGCCACTGACCATGGGTCAAAGAAAACTGAATTTAAATTCTTTAAGGATTTGAAAATGACAAATAAAAGATTTTTTTTTCAAATACATACGGCTTGGCCCATTTCTACAAGATTTCCAACAAAAGCTGTTGGTTTTGGTCCTTTGATTCCATGCCCAGAAAAAGCACCAAAAGTTCTTCTTCCATAGCTGGAAAAATTAAAAAACATCAATAAAATATCTTCTTATTCAATATATATATATATATATATATATATATATATATATATATTATCTGGTCAGAATTCAGGTATAATTATATCTAAATATATTTTAATAGTTTCTTTGTTATATGATTTTAATTTTAAGCTTAAAACTTTCCTTGAATAATTTTTGTACTTCTCCAACAATTTGTGTGGCAATGACTTGAAAAAAATTGGCTGTTTTACAGCCTTCAATTGATTATAGAAATCAAAAAGAAAAGACAATTAACTCAACTTTGTTCAGAGAAATTATTTCATACATCCTACACTGCTAAAATCAAAGAATAGAATATAAATTTAAAAATGTCAGATGCGGCAATGCTTAACAAAATGTTTGTAAAGTTCTAAAATTGAAGATTTTTAAAGGAACAATGATACTTATTTACTTTCCGTTCTGAATATCTATGAGAAAAATTCAAAATGATTCATTTATTTCTAAAACTAATATTAAAAATTTAATTTCTCATAAAAATTGAACAATAACAGAATAATTGTAATAATTATAATTTTTGATAGGTAAATAATTCTAATGCTTAATAAAAACCCTTTGGATATAAGGAACTGAATTTTGAAATGAGAAGAGACAATAGTTTATCAAATATAGATACTATTTCATTTACCAAAAGAAATAAATATGAAATGATTTTTTCTTCAAAAATTTTTTATAAACTGTAGTAATTCTTTTCCTTTGCTCCTGTTACATTGGTGGTGTTGTCTCAAGCAACTTCCCAGTTCCCCAACAAATACTTGCTTTTATGTCTTCTAGTGAGGTCGCTACACAAATTTTTGGTCATGTGAGACATCTCTCAGTCCAGGCAGATTGAGCACAGGTGATCTTATATCACTTATGCCTGTGTCACATTGTGGCAGGGTCCAATACAACCTCTCACCCCATCTCTGGGTGACGGCCTTTTACATCTGCTGTTTCTTCAAAGAAGCCATGTGGAAGACTCACTTGCTTCTTGAGGTGACCTTGCTACTGTTGCGCGATTGATTAGAGTCAACATCAGTTGAATGGTTGACTTTGTCACAGGTATGTACATCGCATTGTGAATTAACGTGGTGGTTTCATCTTCCACAGAATTGCTCACCATATGAAAAAAAGGGCATAGATCTCTCACATGGACTGTCATTCCATTCATATAAACCTAGTATAATGTTCCCTTTCTTGTACAAACTGAGGCTCCTGCAAAGAGATCCTGCCAACACCTTTCATTCAATCTTCATACTGGTACAAAATACAGGCTGGAGCAGTTGCACCGTGGACACCATCCTTTGGCATAATGTTGTTGCAGTAAAATGCTTCCTGAACAGACCATTGCTTTCTGGCATCAATTCTGCTTTATGGATGTGTGCAAGCGTTCAACAATGCCATTTCCAGATTGCACATATGTACATTAGAAACACAGTGGACACCTCATATCTCGGCAAATGTTCTAAAACTCCTGCTGTTAAATGCCTTAACATTATCTGTCAAGATCTCTTTAGGTTGGCCCCTCTCAAAAAGGATAGAGTTGAGACATTGGATCACTATAAAAAGAGAGTTGAGACATTGGATCACAAAAAAAGAGAGAGTTGAGACATTGGATTACAGCAGCTGAATTCCCTTGTCATAAAGGTTGTCAAATGGCAAACCAGGTAGGCTTACAATCTATCAAAGTCAGGTAGGGAGCACTTCTGTTATTGGTAATATCATTGCTTCCAGCCAACTTTGAGGGATTCTAGTAATTGTGTCCACAATTTTCTGATTCAATTTGACAAGTGTAACGTCCACCATTAATGCATATGCCTTAACCAACTTCAAGAAGATTTGCAGCTGTCTCCTGATCAGAATTTCACTCACAGCCTTAGTGTTCACTCGGACATGTTCATGAGTCATTGACACACACAGTGAATCAGTTTTTAAATGTACAGTCTTAGCTTCACAGGGTATAGCCTGGTTTATATCCTTTATAATAGCATCTAGTTCCGTGAGGTTGCATGTCAGATTCTGGCTGCAACCAACATCTTCGATAATGGACTCACATGATTCAAACAAGACTCCAGTGGCCAAAGAACTTGCATTAACCTACACATCAATTTCTTTGCTATCAACACACCACTTGCCTCTACACGGTAATGGACTCTGTCAGCATTCTTTCTTAGCAAGGCATCGTCGGTACGATCATCCCAACCTTTTGTCATATTGTTGCTCTTCACTTGATGTTACCAGCCGCTATTCACAGCCATCTGCAGTCTGGGAAGTGTCCAACAAGCTTGCCACCAAAAGAGAATACCTTCCTCTTGGTGCCTGCCTCTTGAACATTCCAAAGCAAAAAGTTGTCTTCTTCCCAGACAGTTAAGCCAAGTATCCAAGCTCCAGTTTTTGGTCACTCTGGAATTTTGCTTGTCAATCCAAAGCATTACAAGTGATCGAATCCAAGGGGATCCTCTAGAACTACAAGAGCCTATATTACAACAACCCTTCCATTTCCAACATGAAGTCTGATGGGACAAATTCTGCATGTCTTCATTATCCCACTGATGGTTACAAGACATATTACTCCCATGTCCAACACACCTTCTTCCTTACTATGGTGCAGGAACACCTGAAGTCCACTTGTGTGATGCACTTCTTTCCACACACATTAATTTCTATTGTTAGCAGTGCTGAGTTTACATTTTAGCTTGAGTAGAAAGTGGCGCTGAGTTACCATTTCCTGGCTCTTTTTCCTGTCAATTCCAGTTATAACAACGAATACGAAACAAAAACATTAAATTATTAAAATATGTGAACCAACTATAAGGTACCCTACCTACCATACCCCCATACTGACTGAAAGATATAATTGTTAACCTCTGACCTCATAGGTTACCTTACATAAATAAATGTTATTTTTATTATCTTTTAATAAACAAAGAGTAAGCATGACGTTTACAAATTCCTGATAATTAATCTTTTAACTTTCCTAACTGACTTCAAAACACATTTCTAATATAAATATTTAATTTTTTAAGAGATTTTTAAATTGTTTAGTATTTTATGAATGACAGTTTGATGAATGATGAGTGCCAATGTTTTAAAGATGCTTAAAAACTTTATATAACTTTAGATAAGTTAATTTTTATTTTAATCTGGATTAACTTTTAGGTTATTATCATTGAAATAAAACCGAAATTTAAGTTCAAATTTAAGGCATTTAAAATTTAAAATTATTTAAAATGCATTTTTCGCGTTTGTTTTTTTTTTATATATATATTCTGTGGTGGTACGGAGTGCCAATATTTTTTTAAAAAAATGTCTAAAACTTTTATTTACATACATTTGTCAGAGTTAACTCCTCCTTTCACTCCGTTAACCCTTCACCTCGATCTCTTTTTCCCTTCAGGCCTGTGCACTGACACCTTGAGGTAAACTCTCTTATTCCGAGAGGATTTCAACTAACAACCTCGAAATGTAGTCGCTAACAAGGGATAGCGTGGAAACACGCTAAGCACAATATTCACGCACGCACATACAGAATATTCACACACACTTCATCCTTTGTACTGTTTCCATGTATTGTAACTTGTTATTAATATATATTTGTATATACATATTTATCGGTCTTGTTTTTGTTTGCTTTCTTTACCTTCTTCTTTGGACTTAATCAAAGTCCAACCTTTTTTTGTAGTTGGGCTGGGCAGGAGTATCTGAACCTTGCGTTTCTTCTACGTCTGACTTCTATCAACAACGCCATGAACCCTCAACCCTCAACAAACCATAACCGCCACGGCCTCTACATGTTTTAAATAACCTATTTTTTTTTTAGTTGATAAACAATAAAAACAAATCAATTGAGAAAAATTGAAATTTACAGAATGTCTATTAAAATAGCAACTTTTAAATTTTCCTTTCTAGACGTAACCCCATTTTATTCTTTCAGTGAGAATTCAATGACAAGGTTTCCTTCTAGAACAACAATACCATTATCCCTGAGAGTTCCGAGCGAGAAAAAATTGTCTTTATTTGGATTTATTCAGTATAAATTCCTCTCCTGTTTTTCTAAACAGATGGGTACTCTAAGTAATATAAATTTTGCCTATTTACTTCTTTTTACATATTTTTGAAATCAAACAAAAAAAAAAAAAAAAACGCACCAATTTTGATTATTTAAAAATGTTCTTTTAATTTGTCAAACGATTCTACAATAATGTCAGGTTCTATTGTATTATTTAATTTGTTTTTTAAAATTTTATGTTATTAATAAAACTTTTTTTAAAAAAAATTTACATTTCTTTACGACCACGTGAAACAGTCTGTAAAACAAGTAAATATCTCATTTATGCTTACGCCATAGTGGAATGGGGCTTAGGGTGAAAAAGTGAACATTATTTGCCCAATGGCGAAGATAAATGAAATGATAGAAGTCCGATTTTTTAATTTTAACAAAACAAGATTATGAATCTTCTAAAACGGTTAGGTTTCTTTTACGTTGTATTTAATTGTTAATTTTGTTGCCCATATTTATCAGCATGTTTCGTACTTTTACATTTCAGGTGGTTGACGATTTTGTCGAAAAACCCTTAATTTCGCTATTTAGGGCGCGGACGTTTGACATGGCACGTTAAAATGCAAATTCACCAGCAGTTTAAATAAAGAGTTTGTTCATTTATTTTATACTGAAGAATTGGAGATTTTTTTTTTTGCGTTAGATAAATTCATGGCCTAGAGAAGATGAGTAGTCTCTCGACTATTTTATCCTCTGAATTTGATAATCTTACTAATTTACACGCTTGTTTCTTTTTTGTTTTTACATTACATTTCAGTCATTTAGTAAAATCAGTATTCTTAATGTCCATAGTTGCAACGTATTGTCAAAAGAGTATTTTTATTACAACTA